GCATTTAATTATCCCACAGTATTAAGTGTTGTTAGAAAATGCCTATCAGTTTTAAGCCTCTATTTTCCAGGAAACCACTGTGTGAGTGTTTCTACAAGGAAAGCACGCTCATGGGATAGGCAATGACCACATCAGGAGTCGGAAGGCACGTCAGTATGATTCTTCCCCCTTCAAACAATCATGTTTACATGCACCAAGCCATTGTAAGTGTATTGCTGCATTACTGCTGTTGCAATACTGTGCCTGCAAGAGATGGTGTCAGCCAGAACAAGAAGCCAAGAAACACACTAAGTCTTTCCAATTAAGCTTTTTTACCTAATGTGTTTATTCAGGTTCACTCCAAACGCTGAAAAAGATTAAAGATTCCCTGAAAAAGGTTCATAGCTGCTGATATGGTCCGAGCAGATGAGGGGGAAAGGAAAAGTTTGTGCAATAATAGAGATGGGCTAATGCATTGCAACAAAAACACTTCAGCCTGAGAAGCTGCTACTGTGACTGTGGGCTGCCAGCAGGGCAACGTGCCAAAACACTTCTGAAATGTGACTGCGGTTGTAGAGAGCAATAAGAAAATGTCTCACATGCCAGCGCAAACCTCTGCTATCCCAACAGAAAGCACAGAGGAAATGGGAATGCAAACAGAAGCCTGGTAGTCAGCTGCAAGACCAGCTCTCTCTCCCTGACATACTTGCCACCCAGAAAGGTGCGAGACAGGAGGCGACAGAAGTGCACTCACCCCCCTGCTCATAAGTAGTGACAAATTCTGTCTATAATTCCTGTAGCTCTTCTGAAACTGTTGCTCCAAAAGTGGGAATCTGGCCTGGTTACATAAAGGCTTCTGCTGTGTCAGACCAACTCTGCTTCAGATGAAGCAGGACATGACTGTGCCTCCAGCCAGAATGCCAGGGGTTTAATTACTGCCTCTGCCACCGACGTCCCCACCAACCTCATACCAGTCATGATGTCAGCTGCTGAAATCTGTTTTGAGTCTGTAAAATTAAGCTGAGTGCGTGCTGTCTCCCACCACTTCTCCTGCCTGTGTGGATGCTACACCTCCCTGGGCAGAGCTGCTCTCCCACGTGGTGCATATCTACAGTGCAAAGCAAAGGGGGAGAGCGACAGGCTGAAATAAAACCCTCACTGGAGAACACTAATTGCTTGGGTCTTCTTCCCCTGTTTGGTTTCATGTTTTTCTCTTGCAGGTTTTCCACGCTGCCTTAGCCTTGAAGACCTCTTCTGTAACTGGCACCCACACCAGTCAGCAATGCCTGAAAGGGAACTTTCTGAGGCAGAGCATTTCTGGCATATTTTCTACTTGCCATCTGTCTACAGGGAAACATCCTCAGGGCAGGAGCCTTCTGTGTCATAGGTTATATTCTGCTAGTCCCTATCAGATAATAAAGCTGTTATTAATTAAGACAGGCTGAGCAGGGACTGGTGCTGTATATATACAGTGTGCACTGCACCCAGGTGAGTGGGAGGTAAGACTGGGAGTCTGAGACCTACTGAGTATCTCAGGGGTCAAACACAGGATTTATCTAGGCTGATACTGGGTATTTACACTGTAAGTGGCAGTTCTGGGCTCCTTTAAAACCCTGTGGATAGAAATAGATAATTGTAGACCTCATGTTTCCACAGGAGCCATGATGGTTCATTCCATCCTAAATTCCTTTATATATAGAGTCTCAGCGTCAAGTCGACGATGCTGAAGTTGGACAGCTGAAGGTGGTGAGATGAGTCTGACTCCAACGCACTTGACTTCTCACAGTTGTCCTTGTTGATATGGTGATGGTGAGAACATTTCTCAATTGGGTAGCCTGTGAGTGAAAAATAGTACCCAGCTTATTTTTGTTTAGAGTTATATTCAATGGCAGAACTGGCTTTCCCAACATATGGACAAAACCCATGTTCTTGCCAACATCATTTCTACTGATTCCCAGAACCCTGCACAAACATGCATTTTTGTGCTAGGAAAAACACATGTACCTTTGCTAGGAAAAGACTCTAAAATTTGAACATCATAAAACTGTAATTAAAATTAACTTTTTTCCCCTAGTAAAGCTCTTCCAGAAAAAAAAAAAACAAAAAACACTTCTAAATGAGATGTACCCTCAGCAAAGAGGACTAGATACATATCCCTGTCAGAACACATGGAAGAAACTTGAACTAATATCACACAGACACTTTCATGCTGTAAAAGTCTGCCACATTAGGAAGTGGATTTACAGAGAGAAAAGCTTCTCAGTTATTCTCTGGCACAAATCAATGTCACAGAGCTACTCTGATGGAATGGAAGCTTCATACAGCACCACTGTTATTACATATTGATTCAGAGTGTCCTCAGGGTCTGTCCATTTAACTGGTGCACTACTTTCAGAATGGGTTTTGGTGTGTCCCATCATGCTGCATTCCTGCTTTTGGAAAAACCTGATGGAATGACTGAATTGTTTTATGTAAGGATGCTGAAAACATGGCAATTTCTGAAACAGGTGGCAGGAAACATGGGCACCTTAGGACCAGCCACCCTAATAGGACACCAATTTGCAATATAGGTCACGGGTTCTGGGAAAATACGGTAACCTTGGCTTTGAAGGACAAATGGAAAGGTCAATTCTTCTGCAGATGGTTTGATCATTAAATGCCCTTGCCCTCCAGCTCCGCTTATTTAAAAGGCATGGCGCTTCTTTAGGGATAGGAGTGGCTGCTGACCTCGATATTTAACTAATAATTAAATGTGATCATTGCAAAAAGGCAAAACCATCATGACTTTTTAACATGGATGATTTTGGGAAGGGGGTTGTATGGTGACATTTGGGACATTCAGGTTGCTCTTGGAAAGGCCTCTCTCACCCTGGGAATTGCCCACCAGAGCTAAAACAGAAGAAAGTCACAGAAAAGATGGGGAGATTAGGAAAAGGGAGTGATGTGGGGAAGTTGGAAGGAGCTGGGAGAGACTTGGAGGAGGAAACAGTTGGAAAATATGCCTTATTTATTCAGAGGACAAACAATGCAGATCCTCCATCATTAACAATTAATCACCCTGGGCGCTCTGGCCCAAGACTGACAAAGGGTTTAGGTGTGGTGACAGAAACTCCTACACCTCCCTTCTGTGTGCCTGGATCCAGCAGGGAAATACTTAAACCCCAGCTACTCACCTATACTTCCAATATGAGGTACCATAATTGCTGAGTAATTGCAATTAACACCTAAAATGGCCAACACCAAACACTAAGGAAATGCACCTCCTGCCTCCTCCAGCTGGATTTTGAATCCCACTGGTACATGGGAACAAAGGCGGATTGTTCCTTGTTTTATCTCTCATGTTGTCGTGCCCAGATTTGGTGCATCAACTAAGGGCACTGTGACACTCATTAAAGGCAAGGCAGACATGGAAATGTCACCTTCAGTCTGAGATCGATCCAGCACATCCTGTCAAAGCACCCACACTGGCTGGAGGCAAGGAAAGATGTCTTGGCTCCTCTTGACATCAGACCACTGGGCAGCCAGTGAGGAATGTTAGGTTCATGATACAGAAGAGACGGAGGACCAAGTCCACCTAGCCCAGTAAAAAGAATATTCTTCTGGTAAGGTGTGAAGAAAAGGGATCTTCATGTATCTCTCTCTCACCACCATTTGTGTATGTTGTCCAAATAATTGTTTTTGAACAGCAAATAAAGCCTTACTAGTCCAAAGAACATATTGATAACCAGCAAAAAGTCTTGGTATTAAGGGAAGAAGATTACTTAAGCACCTGGTGATGTAAAACATTCAGTAGACAACCCAGTGGACTAGAAGCTAATGGGTGAGGGCCTTTCTCTCCAGATAAACCATCCTGCCAGGAGTAACCAGACACAGGGATCCCACTCACTGCAGCACCCACTGGAAGTGTCACTCACAGCACCTGGAGGGAGTAAAAATTCTGTTTAGCCAACTTACTTTCACTTGTAAACTCCCATTGATTTTGCTGCTTCCTACAATATGAGTAGAGTGGGACAATCTCCCAAATTGTGTCTGTGTTCCAGAGGCAAATCCCTTTATGGAGAACACTCCAAGACCTTTAATTAACTTATGGCCATATCACACCATGAAACTCATACCACTCATCCAGCAGCTGTCATCTAGTCCTCAGAGAGCACGATGCTCTCTTCTGAGCCATTAGAAGCACTCCTAAAATACCAGGGGGGTTCTTTGGAGCAAGTGCCTTCAGTTTTTGACCAGCAGACCTGTGGCATCCATGGCCTACCTTTAACAGGTCTGTTAAAGTTAAGAAAACCAACCTCTTAACAGCAGGTTTCAATTTACCATCAAGGAAGCTGAACAGCCCTCCCAGAGTATTTCCAGAGTTTACAAATCAGGACAGCTCACAGCCTCTGTTACAGCTTACATTAGATCTTCCCATCAAAATTCCCATTGAACCTCTCTGGGTAACAAGATGTAAGAGGACCATGACCCAAGGGGGCATGGCTGCAGGCATGAAGAAGACTTCTCACTCAAGTTATTCATCAAGTGAATAACATGAATGAGTCTTACTGTGTTGTGAGCCTCCCAGGGCTGAAAGAAGTAGAAGCTACAGAGCTGGAAATCCAATTTTGTCTCCCCTTGGGAAACATTTTCCCCTAAGTGCTTACTGAACCAAAGTTGTGAACATCCTTCCTGTGCCACCCTTTATCCACTTCCAGAACTCTGTTATAGAATAGAAAATGTTCAAAGCCACAGATATGCAGCGTTTAAGTGCTGACTGATTGAGTAGTTCCATAGGATAAGGCAACCCCCAATTGCAACACCAAGACAAACATGCCTGTGTGTACATGCAAGGATGTGTTCTTTGTGGCTCCACTGCTTCAGTGATCTCAGACAACAGGAAGGCTCAAAAATTCTCAAGTACCCCAAAGTTTCGGGAAAACAGGCAATAAAGCTGAGAAGCCAGACTCCTCCAGTGCCCTTGGTGAGAGAAAGACAAGTGGAACCCCATTATTGTGACATCAAAGGCCAACAGCAGACAACCCTGGACTGCTGGACCAGACACAAAGCTGGAAGAAACCAGGCTTTGCTGGCTCTATGGCTTGTGGCATGATTGGGTGCTTTCCCTGCAGTGTCACTGTGCCTTCACTGCACTTGGCACTCAGCTGTCCTGATTAGGCGAGGACAGGTTTGTTCTCCTCTGCTCCCTCACCTCTGCCTGCAGTACAGGCTCAGGGGACTCCTGCCCTGCTTTGTCACTGACCTGCTAAGCCACTTTCTCTCTCGGCACCTCTGTTTCCTCATCTTTGAAATGAGGATTACGACCTCTATGAGACACTTTGATGTCCACAGATGAAGTGTGCTGTGGCACATATGAGCATTTTCTCTATTTTAAATGCTAGGCGATATATCGCTGCGGGGCTTTTTTCTTTTGTTTATTAACTTTTATTATTAAAAATGGAAATCAATGAACCACCCTAAAATATATATATTTAAAAAAAAAGGGAAACATTTTTGGATCAGCTTTCTCTTTTGAGTATAATTATGGGAGAGAAAGCAATTTTGAAACAAAAGTGGCAAAGTGCAATGCTCAGAAACTGAGAGGCAGAATGTATTTGTCCACCCAGCAGTTTGCTGTTGCAATATTCCTCTTCTCTTCCATTTTCTAAGTCATGTAGAAAACATTCTTCCTAGATAAATAATTTAGCTCTGAACTGCTGCAATGCACAGCAGGATGCCTGTAAGAGCAAAGTGCTGCTCATGGAGGGTACCTCGCATGACCCGGACAGGAGGAGGAGTTCAGACTGCAACAAGTGCTGGATGGGAATGCAGCACCCAAAACCCACGTGCACAGGCTGGGAAACCTGGCTGGATCAGCCACTCAGTGCAGTTTCCATCTGTCCTTTTCCTCACAGGAATGGCCTTGTTCCCAGCCTGGGCAGATGTGCTGGTGGAATAGGGTGTTCTGAAGGCACTGTTGGATGATAAAGAGAAGTTGTGAGTCTCACACTGTACCTGCAGATGTTCAGTCAGATTCTGGCTCTGCTCCTAATGCACCAAAACCAGCAAACCACTTTGGGCAAACCAGTGGTGTCCAGGAAATCCAGTAGGGACTGCACTGCCCACATATGACTAAGTGCAGAATTTGCTCTGCATATATCTTGAGCTGCTGGGGCCACCAATTAAAAGGTAAAGATGAGATTTCCATGTTCCACATTTCATTTGCTGAAAGTACTTTAAAAGCAAGAATATTAAGGCAGGTTTTTTTAAATTACAGGTGAAGATTATTCCCTGTAGAGCTTTTCAAAATAGTGAACAGCCCCCACCCTATCCTGAAGACAGTGAAAAGCTATGGGAAGCCTCTTCTGGACTGAGCTGTGTCATGGTATGTTTGGATACCTCATCTTTGCAGTGCAAGGTACTTCATAAATTCAGCTCTATTTTACGAACTCATTAGGAAAGCAAACAGAAAACTCTGGCAAATAAAGGCTCAGTTCCATTTGTACATAGAAATCTAACATGCCATTTCACTCATTCACCACTTAATTCACTCGGTTTCAAACACCCAGTTCTCTAAACCATAACAGCCTTCCAGACACCATGCCCTGCCTGTGTCCTGCCCTCACTCTGACCAAGTACCCTGCTCTGAGGAGATCCCCTAAACTCACTAGGACTTGGTTCAGGCCAGCCTGCTCTAGGGAATTCTCCTGGGGCAGGTATTGGCCCAGAAGAGCTCCACAGGTCCCTTGCCTTCCACACTTGGGTGGGATACTCTGCTTTGGTTTGTCTCCTAAAGCACCTCAACTCAGACCGGCTGCCTGTTAGGAAGGATGCTGGGACAAGGAATGATCCCAAACTCAATCCTCTCTCAAGATTCATCCCCAAACAACAGCTCTCCACTCCAGAAAATCCTGTGGTAACACAGTCAGAACAGAGAAAAGAGCATTTTACTGTGGAGATGGACTGTGGGGAGGGCAGGAGTCACAGTGCTTCAGCTGATGAACATGAATTAGCACCTGCAGCAACAGTCACAGAGCTCTGAGAAAACCAGAAAGGCAGAAGGAGGCAGGATTTTGTTCCCTTTGGGAGAGCAGCCCCTTAGCACAAAGCACCACTGGTGAGTTGTCACCTGGCACCAGCAGACTGAAAGTGGAAGAGTTGGGACTCTGTGCTCCCAGGCTCCCTGTCCTGCATGACAGATTTTCTCCCAGTAGTGCCAGTGAGCACATAGCAGTGCTGCTGGTGGCTCCCCAGACCTCTCCATCTTCCTGACTGGCACTGTGGGACTCCCCTTCCCTCCCTCCCACACAAGTTCACTCCACTGGCTGCACATCCCTGCACCACAGCACAGCCAGAGGCAGCTGTAAGTCTCCCACTGTCATCTCTGCTGGCCACCAGTTTCTCCAGATTCCCAGCACTGGCTGGACTCCACTGGGAAAAAAAGGAGTAGGAGAAGGTGTGCAGTGATGCCTCTACTGCTCAGCAGGAGCACCAGCACTCAGTGACTGAGCCCAGAGCAGAAAGACTCTCAATGACATAGAGGCAGCTCAACTCCATGTGGGTCACCCAGGCTCTCAGTTTCTTGTGCTGTCCTGTGCAGCAGGAATGGACGTGGAGTGAGCTGACCACCAAGCCATGTCTTCTCTCATGCCAGGCAGCTCTGCCCAAGTCCTGCTGCAGCCACAGGGAGACCTCTCCCCATCTGTGGAGCTGGGTTCCCCTACCCAGCTGTGCCTGGAGCATCCCCCAGCTTACCCCAGCAGTGTGTCCACCCACAGCTCCTTCCCCTGCAGAAAGAGAGCAGAAACAGCCTCAGGCCTTGCTGCCCCCAGAAGGAGAGCAGAGAAGGGTCTTTGCACTCATGGGGAAGGGCACGGTGGCAGAACAGAGGTGCTGCCCAAGCTCTGGTTCTCTCTGCCCTCTGTGTGGCATGAGCACAGCTGGGAACCTCTCCTGCCTGCCTCTTGGATGTGGGAACCACAACTCACCCGAAACTGGCAATGCAGGAGCCAGTGGGAAAGAGGCAGGGAATGAATGTCATGTCTTCGTGGCGACCTCCCTGCTCTTCTTCTTCCCCAGCCAGCTCTTTCCTCCCACCCAGCACCCACAGCTGCTCCAGGGGACAGAGGGAGCTGTGGGTGCAGTTTGGTGCCCTGTTTGCTATAAGGAGAGGCAAGTAGTAAGCTTGAGGTGACTTCCACTGTGTCTGACATGCATTTATGTACATGCCCTCAGATCCTGCGGCAAACTTCAGTAAACAGTCCTCAAGACAGATATTTCTGATACGCACATGTTCTGCACCAGATGTGCAGCAGTTCTGTGTGCGACCAAGTGACTCAGCCAGCAGGACCATCTTCATAAACACCAGTTTACACAATGTATTACTGGGAGTCCCAGACAACCAACTTCTCCAAGGGGCTCACGCACAGCCAGAGCTCAAACCCTAAGGGCAAAACCTCAATAATTCAGGGGGCTACAAGAAGCAGTGAAGCCACATGAAATAAATGTCAAGAAAGGGGTGCTGCTCCTGGCCCTGGGTTTCCTCCTCTGTCCGCAGGGATTTGACAGCACAAGCCTGTGAAAGCACACAGGCTGCTAAACATTCCCTCCACGCTGTCCGTACTGATAACTGTCACTTGTCTTTCCCACGGGTGAGCGTGGGAGGGCAGGCTCAGGGACATCTCCACCAGAACACAGCACCCCTCACTCGTTCTGCCTCGCTGCACAGTGCCAGAGGAACCTGTCCTCGGAACACTTTGAAGCCACACAGCAAGAGGGCATGCACAACACCTCCTGCTCTGCTCTCCAGTCCCCTGCCCCTTCCAAACCCCTGTAATTGTCAGTACCGTCCTCTACCAAGTCCTGCTCTGGACACCCCACCCAGGGTAAATTTATACTTGAAAAAAAACTCTCTGAGGATTTGCAGTGGCAAAGCCACAAAGGTAAAAAAAACCCCACCATACAACCTAAGTAATTGTTTATCAGCACTACCATTCAGGTGTAATTCTGAAATAGTTCTTCTGAACTATTAAACACTTGGCTCCAACCACTGAATCACATTTATTCCCAGACATTCTCCTTTATTGTATTACTCAGCTTTTTCCGAGTCTTACAAAAAGCAGGAGTAGGGTGCCTTGCCACCCAGAAACCAAAGGAAGCTTCCATGAAACCAGCAAACACCTCCCATCCCCTCAACATTGTCATTAAAAAAGCAAAACAAACCAGAGAGGTTCTACAAGTCAGCCTATAAACCCAGGCATGAGGAGGGTAATGTCAGTGGTAATGGGGCAAGAAAGGCAGGGTAATTATACCACACCAAATTTGCAATCGTGCTGCATTCCTTACCAGTGAAGGCCAGCTAAGAATTAGATACACCTTTTTAAATCATCAAAGGGAGTGGCTGCAAGATACAAGGTGCTGGGATTAAGATGAAGTTCTGGGTTTGCCAGTTCTCAGCAATGGCTTTGGTGGCTGGGCTGGGCATGTCATTAACTGCTCCCAAATGGTGTTCACGCCATGCCACTTCTTTTTAATCTTTATATGATTCTCTGCATTTCAAGAGTCCCAGCCTCCCACTGAGCAAAAGGCTGTACAAACCCAGAAATGGAAGACAATACCTATCCACAAGGTTTTTTGCACATGGTCAACCAGACAAGTTTGGTAGCTTGTACATCAGCACCATTTCAGTGGTGCACAAGTATTTATCATTTTGCTCTAGCTACTACCACAAGGTCTGCAAGCTCAGGCCCTCAAGTATGATAACTCAAGGGCTTCCCTGCCAAGAAAGCTGTTAAAAATACTGAAGGGGGGCTATTTTGTACAGATGATTTAACAAGCACTACATGGGTGAGGGAACAGACTTGGCTCAGACCTCTCCTTTTTCAGAAGGACAAGTAGAGGAGCTTAGGTGTAGCACTTACCCTGCAGCTCTTTGCAGAGGGGAACATTTTGGGAACCTGGGTCCCAAGGAAGCCCCTCCATGGCTGAGAGGCACAGTGCTACCCAGACATGGAATTCTGCTCCATGGACTGCTGGGCAGTGCAGGGAATCTTCTGCTGGAGAACACCTCCTTCAGATAAACTACAGGAGTGACCGTCACACAGGCAGGACAGCAGCACACAGAGGCAGAGCTCCTGTCTGGCTGCCTCACATTGTGCATGGTATACAGAGGATTTCAGTGTCCCCCTGGCCTGTTACAGGCTAAGAGGATAACATGGCACAAAGACAGGCAGAGTCCACCAGAGCTTTAAAAACTCATGAGTGTCTTTTTCCATCAAAATTTCATAGTGCGGGTTGTTCCAGTCAATCCACGGCCAGCAAAACAAATTCTGCATTTATGCTAGTTTTGGGAAAACATGCCAAAAAGACAAGCACAAGGCAAAGCAGCTAGCCAAATGGACAACTCTTGTTATTTAATTATTTTGAAATGAAGAAGTTCATTTAAAACCAGCTACAAAACAAATACATAATGATGGCCTCTCCCTTCATAAAACACCATGCTTTGGCACAAACAACTGGCTGGCCTGATTTTATGTCCAATGAGTTTAATTTTATCCAACAAAGCGTCTCTCTGTACAGCAGAGGAGACAAAGAGTTCTGAAAAAAGCTCTTTGGACAATGTGTAACACCATACAACCCAACTGAAAAAAAAAACAGTTTAGGGCGATTTCTGTTGTCTCTTAGGCCAACAGAAAAAGAAAACATAATGCAGTTAGTATCATCATTGTGGTGAGGTGAGCAGCATACAAGAGCTGAAATACATCAAGCTAATGCCAGTTCCACTTTGTGGTAAACTTGTGAATGTGCTCACCTGACCACTGTAAAGCCAGCTGTTTCTGATGTGTGATGGGTTCATGTTACTGCACTATTTACAAATTCAGTCACCAGCAAGATGCTTTCCCTTGCGGTGATGAGACAGTGTTTTGGCAAGAAGAAAACAGTCCAATGGTTTTCCCTGGGTCACAGGGATGCTCACTACTCACTGCTCACTGCCTCTGTGCCCAGCTGCGCTGGTACACCCTGAAGAAGCCATGACTTCAGTATTTGACTTCCAAACATGAGCTTCTATGAGCCATCTCCAGCTGGGCATCCAGAGAGGAAAACATGCCCAAATTAGTGGGCACTACTGAAAAAAATAGCCAAGCGTCAAAACACTTGCACAATCTCTTCTTACACTCAGTACCTCTTGATTTCTTAAATGGCATCACCTACTGATTGCAAGTGTTTCCCAACGGACACCATCATATTGAAACCCTAAATATTGCAGTGACTTTGCTTCTCCCACTCCACTTTACTCAATGTAATTAATCCTCACAGTGCCTCGGAGGAGGAAGGACAGGGACATTCACCAACCCAGCCCAGTGTGTAAGCAAGAAGCCCAGGCAGCGTGTGAGGTCCTGCAGAGCACAGGCCAAATCCAGTTGCTGTGTCACGTTCCTAAAGGGATGCTCATGCCATCAAATCCCAGCGGTGAAGAAGCGACAAGAAAGCCTTCCTCAATTCCCCCCACCCAAGACCCTGAACTCATCCAAAGGACCATGACAGCACGTTTGGCGGGTCGAGTCGCCCCTGCTGTGGCACAGGCCGGTGGCCTCGGCCGGAGGTGGCCGTGCTCCCGCAGAGCGGGACACCCGCAGACACCGCCGCGTTGCATAACTACGGCCACTGCATGTCAATGGCAGCTCCCCGGCACGGGCCGGCTTACGCAATTACCGCACCTCGCCGGAGGCTGCGGGCACGGCGGGCCCAGCGGGGCTGCGGCCGCACTCGGCCGGGAGACTCCCCTCACCCTCAGGCCGGAGCTCTGCCCACCGACCCTGCCCGGGGCCTCAGCCCCCCGAGGGTGCTGGCAACGGGGTACGGAGAGGAGAGGGGTGGAGGTTCATTTCGGAGGGGCCGAGCAGTGTCCCCACCTCTGAAGGAAGGGACTCACTCAGGACGCCCGGCTCGGCACATCCTCTTNCAGGGCACCTGCGGAGCGGGGCGGGCTGGGGGGCTCCGCCCGGCCCTGCCTCAGCGCTCTCCTTTTTACCTGCAGAAAATAGAGGACGGGCATTTAAACAACTCCCTGGGATCTCCGGTGCAGGCTGATGTGTACTTCCCTCGCCTGGTAAAAAATCACCTTTGTGGGGTTGTTGGGGTTTTTTTTTTTTGTGGGGGTGGTGGTGTGTTTTATTTTGTGAAACCCTTTACTCTCCCCCGCCCCCGCTCAGCTCCGGCTGCACAAGGGCGGTCGCTGCTGATGCCGAGCTGACCCTCGCCACCTTCCCCCTGTCCTTTCCAGATCGTCCCCTTCTGTGGGCACAT